GTGTGTGTGTGTGTGTGAATATGTGGCATCCTAAACACATGTACATATATATATATATATATACTATATACATAAATTTATATATACATGTATTAATACACATATATATATATATATGTATATCTATATATATATATGTATATATACATATATATATGTATAAATATATATATATATATATGTGTGTTTGTGTGTGTATGTATGGATATATTGATATATATATATTTATGTATGGTTATATTTGGATATACATATATACGTATACATATATATATATATATATATATATTACGCACTTCAATTTAGCTTGCGTATCTATAACTCGTGTATACTGTTCGTATCATCAGCTAGATACAGAGCATTCTGCTGCATACAATCTTGAGGCACTCGAGATGTATAATTATGTTTAAAACTGTTAATTGCTTAATGGCGGAAGTCGAGCATTTACAAAGCCTACAAAATCATATCCAGGTCGATACTGCGCCCATTGAAGATTCGGATTCATTGTTGTCGCAGGGTCCAAGAAGAAGTAGCGCAGTAGATCACCAGCCGTCTGAAAGGTGAGTGGTGATGAAAAGTGAGTTACGTACATTGAATAGCGTGATTCGTCGACGATACCTTCATGGATATGGGCTGCAGAAAACATTAGCATACCTTAGCGTATTTATCATCCTCAGTATAGAACCATAGTAATGCCAATGTTGTCACTGACCTCGTCATCTTCTGCATGGGATACTTCGCACTTTCCGCAGATGCTTCTCTATTTGCAATACCTGGAATATCGTAATATCGGAATTGAAAAATGCAATATTTCCCCACAGTTGTTTCGAATTTCGATCATACAGTATGCGTAAATTAAACAACAAAGGCGATATTATATATATGCTTGGTGATGGAACTCACCCATCACATAAGATATATGGTACACTGCCCCATTGTTCATCATCAACACATTCGTCATTAGGCGGAGGTGTGCATTCTCCCACACCATCACCCCAACCATACAGCTCTTTTGCTTCCTGGGACGTAGATTATTTTTGAACATTCACAAGAATACGACGCAATGATACATTAATATTATGTACGAACACTGATTTTTAGAAGTCGCTATTTTTTAAAATTCGATACGACCTTGGCACAGAACGAAATGCAAATACGATCATTATTTATTTTTTTACCTTGCATGGCCACGCGTAGTAGCCAATGGTCTGATAGTCTTGGTCGTCTCCGGACCCTGGTAAAATACTCTGCTGCGTGACAGAATTTTTTTTGCCATCCTTGACCTTCCAGTCGTTTATTTCTTCCAACAATAAATCGAGGGATTCTTCAAATACTGGACCGCTTGTGCCATCTATGTATGCACTTTTAATCTCGTCCATATCACCCCTTTTCTATATGTACATTTTTGGCCTATCCACTGTAGAGAATGCAGCCGCACTTATAAAAGAGATCAACCCGACACAGCTATATATGTTCACCAACATCTCGCGTGTGATTCAATCTAGTAAATATGTCGCAACAAATCAAGGATATGGACTTGCCGTATGCTCCATTGTTAATTTATATACAACTATATTCTATAAAATTAAAATATATATTTATTATATATATTCGATGTATTTATATATGTGTATATAAATGTATCCAGATGTATATCCATATTGTTCAAAACTAAAATCACACGTCATGTGTGAATGCCAGCCGGGATTGAACCACGCATCTACTCCACTGTTCAACTTGTGTTGTTGTACAGTTCAAGGACTATATCTTTTCTTTTTTACTCTAAGGATCTATCGGTTAGTAGATACTCTACTCTAGAGTAAATACTAATTTGTTTGAATTTTTTGTTTACTAAATATTTAATATTTATTACTCTAAATATTTGATTACTTTTGTGGTAGTTTCCTGTTTCATTGTTTTCTGCAGTTGAGACCTTGAGTGAGAGACTGAAGGGCCGGAAAAAATTGGAAATAGGAAATTGATGGAAATCCCTGTGCTTTGTGCTGAAAAATTGTGATTTTGAACCTAATTTTCTTGATTTAATAGATTTTCTTGATGCAATGTTTTTCGGTACTTTTAAAAAAAATAAAAAAATACAATATCAATAACAATTAACAAGCATACGGTTTTCCAAAATTTCCTGAAATCAAACGAAGGCTATGAAATTTCTAAAAACTGCGACCACTATGCCTGCGACTCTCGCCTGCGACCCGCATTATGTCTGACGCTTCTAATTGAGATTCTAGGGTATTAGGGTTTTAGGGTTTTAGGGATATAAACAAATATATATATCATAGCCCCCTGAGAAAAAAGAGATAGGTTGTTGATTATTCAGGGGCTGTGCACATATACATACATACATATATATATATACAT